GAGACTCTGCCCGACTGCGACTTAGTCAACCCATTCTGCAGGAACAGTCTTCCCAAGAATATACCAAAACTACCTGTAAATATTGTGTACCTTTTTTTCATTGTTTCAATACATTTTGTTACGTACATTTTGTGTTGTATTATTATTATTCCATGCTTATTCAAGCTTCAACACTAATATTAGTAGGTTGTATCAAAAGTATTTTCATTTCTGACAAACCTTTACTCACAAAGTTTATTTTATGTCAACATCTATATCTATGTTGCTTCTATATTACAATTATTGTTACTACTATTATTATAATAATAATAATAAAAATAATAAATATATACTGTATCAAAATTATTCTCATTTTTAACAAACCTTAACTCCAAAGTTAATTTCCCATTTCACATCTAAAGATGACCTATAAAAAACACTGAAACTCATTTGTTATTCAAATTAATATCTTCATCTTTGCTGGGTTTCATTTATTACATTTATTTTTCTCAATGTGATTTTAATGGTGTTGACTTATCCATTGAAATAAAAACCAGAAGGGGACAATCATCAATTGTTGAATATAATGATTTAAAACACATGGGAGAATGAGAAACCAAAAACTACCACCATTCAAAAAGAGATAAGATCATCAAAAGATATTGTATCTAGTGCATTACATAGACTTCATAAAATACCCAAGGGATTTAGAGAGAATTAAAAAAATGAAAATACTTTTGATACAACCAAATACAACGTATAACATTCATTTTAAGAACATGTTTTTCATTTATAAATTAATTAAAAATTAATTTCCCTAATTATGGCATTCATTCTATGTGTAGGTAAGAAATTTACAACACACACTTAAATGTTGTCTCAAGTTCTGAAATTAAATTATTTGGACTTCACTTTTTTTGTTTTGATCTAAAGGAAGACTCACTGATTTATCTATCAGATTATCTATCATTATTGATTTTTTCTATCATTATTGACTTTTTTCTTGCTACTCAAGGGATAAAAGCATTTGTAAACTTTTTTTTTTTAAATTTAAAAAAAAAAATTTAGGGTGACCAAATATAACGTAACCCCAGGGAAGACTGAAAAACGAACTGGCTGAAAGGCAGTGACTGAAACAACAAAGGTCAGGATCATAGTTTCAATATTTAGTCAAATTTAGTTACAAATTCTAATTCCTAGCAAATTAAGAGCAATAAAATTTTTCTCAAGATGAAATGTTTCATTTTAAGAACTTAAAAATTTTAGCAGAGTAAAAAGTTTTAGACTTTCTAATAAGAACAAAAAACAGAGTATTTCTTTAAACTAGATTACTTCAAACATTATTATAGCGGATACTCATATTTGAAATAGACGCCCCATTTTTATTCTTACTTAAGGCAATGTGATTTATGTCTATCAGTCTGTGTATTTAAGATATCTTAGAAAAAAAATGTGCTCTCCAGTGTGGATCAAACATACACCTCCTTTGTAGGAGAAACCCCCATTTGACCTAGCATGCTCCTAGCATATACCTAAAAAAAGCATCAGTTCAGCAAGACTATTTTCACTTTTAAAGAAAGCACTCCTCCTTTTATATATATATATATATATATATATATATATATATATATAATACACACACACATCATTTTAAAGTTAAAAGTATTAGTACAGCAAGATAAAAGAGGTGTTGAAAAGTTCTCATTCTGACCAACTTTCTAAAATCTGACCAAATGATCAGTTTTTTTGGGGTTTTTTTAAAGGCTTCTTAGGTGGGCTTAGAACTTTTCAGCCTCTCCTCATACATTATCATTATTTTTATTTAGTTTTTCTCTCTCACACATTAATTTATTTTAAGTGATTGTTAAAGAAAGTATGATTTAACATTATTTTATCAAAAATAATTCTTTAAACTGACATGTAAAATCCAGAAAATGTCAAGACTGTTTTTGCCTGACTGTTTTCTAATCAATTTATTGCCAGATTTCATATTCAAAATTACTCTGAACAAATAGAATGTGAATATAACAGGTTTAAGTTGTCCAAATGTCTTTAATGAAGTATTTTAATTATTATTAACTATGGTCTGGTTCATTTTGTCATCTGTTGTTGTTGTTACTTTTTATGCCAACACTAAAAAAATTTTTTTTTTTTTTTTTTTTTTTTTAACTATGTCTTAATCTGCATGGATTAGAAATAAAGAATTAGCTGCCAACAAAATATTCTTAGAAGCTCACCTCACATGGATGGTGCCTTACCAATTTTGGCATAAAGAGCCATCAGCAGGCAAAGTGCAATTTTAGTCATATGGCTACATTTTTCCTTCTTCACTTTTCTCCATACCATATTATAGTAGTAAACATAAGCTTTCAAATTTCAAAGTATACCATATTATAGTAGTAAACATAAGCTTTCAAATTTCAAAGTATTTTCATTATGGATTTCAAGATTAGTTTATCTTTCATCTTGTTTTTGTTGCTTTTCTCATAATATTCAGCAATATTGTACATTCTACAACTTGCAGAATAAACAAGTAAGCCTCTGATGAGGTTTGAACTCATAATCTTTGAGAACTTGTCTAACATGACAAAAAAAAAATAAGATAAACAAAATAAAAATTAATGCTGACATTTAAATCCCAGTAAAAGCAACTGTTGGCTAATGTAATTTTATCTCATCCACTTTTAATACAAAAAAAGTAAATATTTGAAAACAATTTAGTTTAGATCAAGATATATATCACAGAGTAGAGCATTGGACTGGTGATAGTTAGGTTTAGGTCTTATCTCCCCACCTTCAATAGTCTTTAAAAAAAAATATCTGGAGATAGGTTCACTCCTCCTCACACTATACTCTGTTAGCAACAGTAGGGCACTACAGGTTGAATTTTTAATAATAATAATAATAATGATAAATAAATAAAAAAAAAAATAAACAATGGATGGGTTTTGTCTGGTTGGACAGGTTTCCAAGACACTTTTTTTTTTATCATGACTCTGTTGACAGGTCACTGAAGATGAATAAAAGGATTGTAGACAGAGACTAAATACAAGAGCAATAAAGGAAAGTCAAATTGTAGCACTACTACAAGAAAACATCATAAGGAGACATGTGAATGCATCAAGGAGCAAAAATGGAAAAGGATACCCTCTGATCGTTGCAGTCAGTCATGGCCTCAGACATGAGATCTAGTTTCGATTTCTTGCACGTTATCTTTTTCTTCATAGTTTTGAGAACACATCTCTGGTATTTAAGAAGTAAATATGTCATTTTTCTCTCAAATGAGAGCAATAAAAAAAATTACAATAGAGTAATAAGTCATAAATTCAGAAAAATTTTAATTTTCTGCTTATGTCATTTGTTATTAACCAGCCAATCAACAGAGACGTCATTTGTTATTAACCAGCCAATCAACGGACGTCATTTGTTATTAACCAGCCAATCAACAGGGAAATCATCTAATGATGTCATCAGGATTTTCTTATTTCTAATCTTATTTCAATGATTAGGATATTTTTATTTTTTTTTTTATTTTAGTTGTTTTTTTTTTGTGGCCTTTTTTATATTTTTAAACAGCTGTCGGATTTTCATATTACAATAGATTAATTTTTTTAATTAAATGACATCAGTTTATGTTTTTAACATTCTTTCCCTGGCATATAGGATTAGAACATACACTCTGAAGTACCCAAATTTTAATGTTTTTTAACCTCTTGGTGGGTTCAAATGCAAAATCTAAAACAAAAGCAAAATAAATAACATTTTAAATCCCTCCCCGCCTCTTATTTTTAAAACTTTTATTTAAATATTTTTTCCTTTGCATGTTTTCTCAAAGTATTGATCTTTGATTCAATAATTTTTCCCTGTATTTCTAATATTCCCATCAGATCCAAACATTTTCTGAGGGAGACTCCGAACAGCACAAGCATGAGTGTCCTAAAAATGGTGAGTGGCATCCCACTACCACCATCATCATCACCACCACTATCTCCACCCAAAACAGATCTTCACCATCTGCCTGATAATCATTCAAGAACTGATTCAAGATTGTGTTTTAAGCCACCAAGACAATCTAGGATTTCATTCTCTTAAAATTCAATAGAAAGAATAAAATAAAAAATAAAGATTTATTTTAGCCTTTGTTCAGAGGCTGACACTGCTCCATTTCACCTGGCTGGCCACAGCTTTTCAGGTCATTTAATATTAGCATTAAATTGAGATTCATCTGAGATAAAAATAATTATGACAGATTAAAAACCCTTCCCAGAATGCAGAAAAATTATTTGCTATTCTAAAAATGGTCAGCCATTTTTGTTTGGAGTCATTAATTAAATTTTTTTTATTTCTTCATTAAAAATGGAGAAAAATTAAAAACTAAGTGGGCCGTTTTGTTTTTTTGTGTCCTTAAATAGTTTATGTGGCAGATATTCCTCGTTATTTTTTCTTTGAGATAAAAACTAAACCAGATTTGTTTGTCTATCTCCAAATGTTTAAACTACTTTTCTTTCAACATGCAAAGGAATTTCAATTACCTGACATAATTACTATCATTTATACCATTTACATTGATTTTTTGTTTTGTTTTTTTTTTACTGTTACAAACAACAGTATGTTCAATAATAAAAAATTCACAACTCCCTACATCCCCGCCAACACAGTTAATTTTGTCAGGTGAGTGGTATGATTGGGTGGGTTTGTGGGTGTGTTTGCATTTTGCTTTATTTTGGTTGGATAACCTTGGCTTTCAGCTGATTGGTTGAAAACCTCCGACCACATGGAGCCAATCTTCATGCTGTGTGACCAATTCTTGGTGATTCAACCGAAGTAGATACTGACTTACAGACCAGTCAGTCAAGAGAGATTCGCGGAGAACTCTTATAGATATATATATATATATATTGTTTTTACCTCTTCCTCCTAGTAGAATCTCCGAAATAGGAAAAAAAAATTTTAATATTTTTCTCTTTTTAAAAAAAAAAATAAAAAAGCAATAAAAGAAACTTGCAAGGCTATAACAAGACTTCATCTCTGAATGCCAGACTGATTACGGCTTTCTGATGGCCATTATACTCCCTTCTTACTTCACCTGTGTTCACATTCCACAACCGAGCAACGTTGTCAGAGGAGGCTGAAACACAAACAGAAAAATATAAATAAATAAATAAAAATCAGGCAAGGAAGTGTAAAGGATAAGTCATTTGGATATTTACTAAGATTTTAAACAATAAATTTCATTTTTACTATCAAGCCCTTGATTATGTAACTCCATACAACTTGTCACATTTTACTAACATAGAAATTGGCATTTATAAACACAGATGGGTCTAAAATATTTAAATATACCATAGCTTACCCAAACAAATCTATCAATAGAAAACAGCACACTTTTTTTCCTTTCTAAAGATTAGTGTAGGCCATGATGATGACTTTGTTGTTTGTAGTTAGTATAAAAATGATCTTGAACAAAATATTAACATTCTATAGCAAGTTTTCGAAGACTTAGGATTTCAGATAAACCTTTCTAAAACATTGTGATCGGAAATTGGAATGAGATTAGTGATGGCACTTATTTTGAATCCTTTATAAAAATTCAGAATGTTGAATTGATAAATTCTAAACATTTTAAAAATCACAATGTCTGGATGAATAATAACAAATTTAGTAGAGCAGATAAGCAATAGGAAACCTTTATCTATACATTGAAAGATACTAATAAAACCAAAATATTAACCTGAATGAGATCCATATCCTTAAAAAGCCTCATCAAAACTAGACTCTCATGTGGCATCCAACTTGTTCAGAAATGTCTAAGTCAGTGTTTCCCAACCTTTTTTCAACCACATCCACTTTGGGCACAAACCTTTTTGTCAACACCACCCACCAGTCAAATTTTGAATATTATATTGTATTCATCTTACATAAGATAAGACTTAGGTATTAGTGCAAAAATAATTTTAATATTGTTTTCATTTCTATTATAAATGCCAATGATTAAAATGCTAAGAAAAACTGTAACTGCGTTGAAACCACATTTAGCCATATATGAAGTTGGAAAAGCAATGAAAAGTTTGATAGCTTCCCACAGTTTTAGATACCTTTTAGAAATTTCCTTTTGTAACCAATATTAAATAATTTTTGAAGATTAAAAAAAAAAAAAAAAAATCTAAAAAGGAGGCATGGCAGTTTTTATTTCACTTGCTGGATTGGGGAGGGGGGCACCCAGCAAATGAAATAAGAACTGCCAGTTCCCCTTTCAACATAACAGAGTCTACAAAGGGATGCTAGCACCTATGTTAGGAAACACTGGTCTAAAAAAAATCATCAGTATACAAGTGTTTTCTTAGATCAATGATTAAAATGAATTAATCCTTGAAATCTTAATGACAATATTTCCTCAAACCCTACAGACTGGTAGCACAAAATCACAATCAAGAAGCTTTACCAAATAATAAAAAACATCACTTAAAGACTTCCAACAGCAGTAACAACTAAAATGAACAGCACATGTAATTAGAAGAGAAAATAATGATATAACAAAGATGTTAACTTTCTACACTACCAAAAAGAAGAGGTTTGGAAGGAAACTTTCATCAAGACTAGAAAGAGCAATAACAGTGGACTTCAAGTGTTTAAAAAAAATACTTTAGAAATTTCAAACAACAGTGACACTAACTATTCAGTCAGTGAATGCTAAATCTTGACTGTATGAAAACAGCCAATCAAACCATTACTGCCAAACAAGTACTATTCCCCCTAGAGATGCCAGGAAGATGAATTATTCAACATGGCACACTGACAAACATCTTAGCTATAGAGAAATGGTTAAAAAAAAAAAAATATATATATATATATATATATATATATATATATATATATATATATATATATCCAAGACGGAATAAATTTCAATAACCAACAATTACTATTCTTAAAAGAGTGCTCAATACATAGTAGAGCAGATATAATTATTTATTTAAAAATTATAACATAAATATGTTATAAAATCACTACAAAAAATTTTATAATTTTAAACTTAATAGAGATTAAATTTAGATTTTAAAATTGGTAATTTTTTACTTTTAATATCAAATTTTATCATATAATTTAATACTTATTGGTTAGAATAAATTCTATTTTAGTATAACCCCAACTTTAAAGCTTTTAATAGCTATTATAACCTTACTTCGTTGTCAAGTATTTTGAATTCTCTTATACTTGTGTTTTGATTGGTCATTCTAGCTCATGTAACAGCATTTTCCCCTTGCGAAGGATTGTTAATTAATTTGAAACCTTTAAAACCATTTATTCTACATTCAACATCATCACTTGATAAGATACTGGAGGTGTTGAAACAAAATGGCTATTTTTGTAGCGATTTTATAACATATTTATGTTATAATTTTTTTTTTTTATTATATATATATATATATATATATATTGCAAACTATAGTGAATTTATTTTTTGCTCTACTAATGTCTTTGTGCCCAAATCTATAAACCTCAAGGGGGGGGGGGGGTCAATGCAACACTCTGAAACTGACATGAAAACTCATTAACCATTATTCCCATACAGCTTACATGAAGTGCTTCAACAATTTAGGAAAAGAACAAAATTCTACGTTTTTATTTAAAATAAAAACACGTTTTTTTTTTTCCTTTATTATTGTGGCCAAATTAAACAACTAGCAATGCCAATCAGAGGATTTTGATTGATTGATTTTTTTGATTTTTACAGTTTATCAATCTTTTGCAGGTTATTTTAAAACCAGAAAATATTTTTAGATTTTAAGAATTTATTGGAGATAATAATAATTTACTGATACAAGTCCTAAGCCCATAGATGGGGGTAGAAGAGGTGGATGCATACATTTCTTAAGGATATTTGCACCTAAGTGAATATAGCCAAACCCAAGTGGAATTGGAACTCATCACTATGATGTCCAACTGAGAGCCACCATCCGCACATCCAAGCTTACACACTTGGTATTCCAAAGCGGTCACCCATCTAGGTACCAGGCTCAATTTTGCTTAACTTCAGAGGAAGATGCTGTAACAAACACAAGAGGTCTAGATCAGGGGTTCTTAACCTTTTGATGATTCCAGACCACCAATGGATTGTCCAATATGGTCCCATACCCACTTCACTTGACTGTCAAAATAATTATCACCAATCCTATTATTTGCCAATATGTCTTCCAAATATTTCAATCGCTTGAATTTATTGTACTTTAGATATGGATTGCTAGTAATAGAACATGAAAACGAAAACCATAAGCATTGATAACTTTACTATATTTTTTTCCTGAAAGCAAAATAAAGTTATAAATCAGTTTTATTCCACAAGAAAAAAGAAGAGAACATAAATGTGCAAGTTTTTTAGTATCTCAACTACGTAAAACAGACTTTTACTAATCTAGTGAGATATTTGCTGTTGTTTTTGTGCAATCAAAGCATGGAATCCAGGTACAGTTACTAACAAAGCTACTCGCATGTCATCTGACACATCAAGTCGATTTCTCCATTTTGATTTCAGATTTAATAATGCAGAAAATCCTGTTTCACAGAGATACATAGTTGTGAAGGAAACCAAAATATGCATTGTCCTAAATGCCAAACTTGGGTAAGCAAAGATTTGTTCACATCAAAACTGCTTGACATCCATCCCAGCCCTTTCAAAATCAGCTTTCTTTCTTGGGTCCTCTTGGAATTCAATGAAATCATATTTTGATAAATCATAATCACTCATTCTCGATACATCAAATTAGAAAGGGATTTGTATCCAAATTGAATCCATGCTAAGATCATCAATATCTGAAAAGTAACCCTCAAAATTTGTACTTAGAACTTCCACTTCCTTTTTTTGACAGACGACATTTTGCACCAAAACTGTGAAAAGAAAAATGAAAAACTGTCAAACACAACAAGGGGTGGGGGACTACCAGTACCCAGAAATCAAGTCCCATACCCCCCAGCATTTGGTTCCCATACCCACAAGGGGTATGGATACCCCCAATTAAGAACCCCTGGTCTAGAGGATGTATTCAGGTAGTGTTAATCATAGTTGCAGAAAATACTTGAAGAAAATCTGAAATGGAGGATTACATGCCAATTGCAGTTAGATGAACAGATCTATTGCTACTAAGCAGCAATCAAAAACCCTCTAAAAATGTCTTAGGTCCTTTGTGTGAATTCACTGAAATGTTAACATTTTCAGCCACCACTCAATCACAAGTCACTTCCTATTTACAGAATTTCTATTATAATTATTTGCAAATGCTAATTATTACAAAACTTAATCATTAAAATTATTAAAGTACATATCATCAAGGATACTTTATAAGCTCATTAGTTTTATTGAAACAAGGAAAACAACTCTGTAATTAGCATATAATAGATAGTGGTTATCTCCCTTTTTTGTTTTGTTTCGGGATTTTTTTTTCGTCAATTTATATTCAGAAATTATATATTTATACTAATTTATTTGTAATCAAGATAAAAGATGCCATTATCTTTAATATTCAAGAAATTAGTAAAAAAAAAAGAATATTTCTTATAAAAAAAATATCCTCCTTCATCCGCTCTGTCATTTTCTCTGACCAGCATTTAAATTAATTTCTATCTTGCAATGCCCTGCTTGTGGGGGAAAAAATAGCAGACATCAGGGAATGCTTTGACTCTCTTCTTTAAGCTCATTAGGAAAGTTCTGTTCAAGGAATGAAAGATATATTTCTTAGCAAAAATGTGACAAATCACATTTCCAAATACTGCCGTTCCCATTTACTTGATAAGACAACACCTATACCCATGCACTCTACCAAGAAAGGTCATTTATTTGGTGATTTACCTGTGATTATGTATTGAGAATCGCCACTGAAAGCGCAGTCCCACACCCAGCGCTGAGTATTCTCCTTCAATTCTGTCAACTTGGAAAAGTCGGCAGTTTTCCAGATCACAGCAGTGCCATCAGCAGAAGTTGTGGCCAAGAGCCTGAACAAAAAGAAAGTTTGACTTTTAAAAGTTTCGTTCTTAATATTTTTTCTTCATTTATCTACAACTTCTCAGTCAATAACAACTACAAAAAAAAATGTCATTTTTAATTCCTTTCACCAATCGAAATAAAAGACCCAATCCATAATACAATCACAAGTCACTTCCAGTTATTAAACACATTAAATTCATTTCAAATATATCTGCCATTTTGTTGTTTTTTAAACAATGCTTTATGGACAAAATAACAATGATACAGGACAATATGGGTTCAAATCCTGCCCAAAACTACTTGAACTTTTTCTCGTTATAACTAAAAATTTGACTCTCTGACATTGTACAAAAGAGTGATGAAAAGTTATTAGCGCAATCCACTTTCAAAAATATGACACTAAACCTCTTTTTTTTTTCTCTTCTTGGTAAAGTTGAGAACTTTTCAGCACCCTTTGTGTTTAGTTATAAGGGGTGCTGAAAAGTTCTCACTAACATTGAAACAACACTTCATCCAAAATTTTGTATTGTATGGAAAATATTTTTTATTTCATAATCAGAATTCCTTGATCCAATTTTTTTAAGTAACAGATCATTTTTTGGCAAATGTTAGCCAATGTTTTGCCAACCATTCCAATAAACACTCTAATAAATAAATAGTGTTTATTATTTTCATTATCAATTTTCAAGAAATAAAATGTATACATACACTTTCATATGTTTAAGTTTTATTATGATTCTAATCATCGCTTTTTAAAAGAGAACACATTGCCAGGAAGTGAAGGTACTTAAAATAATAGTGGTGTCAAGGGAAAAACCATTCTTTTGACACTTCCTTTTTTTTTTTCCCAGGCCGAAGGTCCCAGTTTTCTCATTTTTCTTTGTGTCATTCTTGAAATGGATTTTATGAAATGAAAACTATTTCCATATAATTGCTGATGATGAAACTTTATTATTAAAATGATAAATTTCTTGTTCAAAATAATTTCTATAGGAAACAATCATTTATTGAAAAAAACAGAATCAGTTAAAAAGGAATTATTCTTTCTGCATGGAATACGTTTATTCTTTAACAGAATTTGTTGTAGCAAATGATTAACAACATTTAAAAGAATTAATTACCAAATGAATTAAAACAACAAATGAAAGGAGTTAATTGTTTTTCCAGAAATTAAATCATGTCAAACAAGATGAATACAAATATATTAAGTTTAAAAAAGAAATTCAGTGTGACAAAAGGTTTTTTTTTTTCAAAGAATGCTATGATCAGTTTAGACATAATGATCAAATCATTAAAGGTCAACATTTTTAGCCTGACCTTTATTCATCAAGAAAAATACTCAAAAACAAAATTGACTTGGGATTTCTCATACTCAATAATAAATATCAGTATTATTAAAAAGACATTAAATAAAATTATTGAAGATGCTAACATGAAATTTGAAACATTTTCCCTGGGCCTCTAAAGCTAAATATCATTACTTATAAATCTATGCTGATGTGGTGGATAATTATCTAGCTGCCCTTCTCCTTTAGTCTGCTTGAGGAATTGAATTTATCAAATTAATCTAGAAATTTTGCATATAGTTAGTTTTTTTGATTGATCTCTATGGTTGAAGAATCAGCTGCATGAAAATGTACACACTTTATCATTTTGTGAAGTTTAAGCTTGTCTGCCATTACATATTATCAGCTATAATTTCCTAATATTTAATCAAGGATGACTTTTTTTTTTTTTGTCCAGAGTTGTGTTTTTGGATTCAGACAAATTTAAACAAATTACTATGCTGTTGGGATGGTAAATCCAAAATGGCCACCAAATCATGCTTTAAGATATATATCGTCGTCGACATGCGTCCATCTTGAGAGATCATGGAGTAGCACGGTGCGCTATGAGCCTGGGCGGGATATATGAAGAACTAGGGCTGCCCAGACATCTAGGTCCCCCTCTCAGCTTTGCTAGCAGAGTCCAAAGGAGAGGATAAACCAATACAGTTTGGTACCAGCATGTCTGCAGGAGTTGCCAGAAAGTAGCACAAAGTGCCGGCCATCCGCCTTAGGGGCTCCACTCTGGGTTTGAATTCAGAGTTGTTCTTCTCCTAGACCAGTTGCCATCCAAGGCTATAGAACCTAGTCTGTCCTATATATATATATATATATATATATATGACAGCACAACAGGCAAGGAAATATTTGCTACACAGTCCAACATTGAATGCAATGACCAAATGCATACATGTGTGTGCAACAACACATATATGAGCATATATGCCAAATCCCACACTGTTCACATATGTTTGAGCTCCGGTGAGTGAATGTGTGTGTGTGTGTGTGTGTGTGTGTGTGTGTGTCTACATACATCGATGAGTGTACGTGCATGTCTGTATGTTTGTGTACGTATGAATGGTGTCCTGATGACAATTTTTACTCCCACTTCCATAAAAACCACTGAAATACGCAACTAAAATCCAAAATTTAAAAATTAATCAGTTTGTTTGACGATCGCAAATAGCATGAAACCCAGGGTCATAAACTCACATCAATCCAACTATATATATATATATATATATATATATATATATATATATAAATGGTAATACTCGTTTGGAAAACCTCAGGTAGCTCAACTTGTAATAGAACAAATCGATACCCGAGGAAAAAAAATTGGAAATAAGAAAAGAAAGAACCAAGAACATTAACACAATACGAAACCAATCGTCAAGTACTTAAGCTCCAAGTCCAAAGAAAAAACCCCAAACGAGTACAAAGTCTAAAACGTAAAGTGCTCAATACACTAAGTAGAGCAATAATAAAATAGAATAAACCTAAGAAGGCAGTCAAACCTACCTAGGTTTTACCTAAACAGATCTTCAGGGTAAAACTGAATATATATATATATATATATATATATATAAAATATAAATAGGAAATGCTTCATATTTAACACAAAGAGGGTATTTGGGAGTTAAACAATCTAATAAAACTTAATAGTCAATAGCATGGCCTCTCATATTTATAACTTGATGCAATCGTTTTCTAAAGTTTTTGATGAAATTTGAAGAAGTCTTTTCTGGGATTTTCTTCCATTCTTCAATGGTTACACATTCTAATTCCTGAAGATATTTTTGGTGACTGGTGATTTATTCAAACTTTTAATTCTTGCCATCGGACACATTGAAGGCTATGGCAGAACTGTAATCTTTCTCTGAAGCCGCACAGTCACTGATTTAGGCATATGTTTGAGATCATTATCTTGCTGGAAAGTAAATTGATGACTTAGATGAAGATTTTGCACTAATAGTTGTAGATTTTCATCCAGAATTTTGATATAGTCTACAGATTTCATTATTCCTCTTAATGCAATTAATTATCCAGTCCCCAATGAGCTAAAACAACCCCAAAACATCATCGAGCAACCTCCATGTTTTAATGTTGCCACTGTGTTCTTTGGGAGGAAAGCCACACCTTTCTTGCACCAAATCTTCTCTACATCATTATGCCAAAAAAGCTTAATTTTTGTTTCATCACTCCATAGTATTTGTTCCCAAAAGCAATTATTTAAACAACATTGTATTATGTGAGTACTTACACCAATACCCATTGTATCCAAACTTTTGCTGATGTCTTTTGAAGACAACTTTTGGGTTTTTATTAATCTTGCAACACAGTTTTCATGCAGTTTTCAGTGACAATTTCGGTTTTCTTCCACACCCAAGCAAATTCTCTGTTGTGCCAAACTGTTTAAACTTCTTTATAACAGACTGGACAGACTGTACCATAGATCTAAGGATAGCTAACCAGTTTGATATAGTGCCTTAACTATTTTACGACTTGTGTAAGTTAATAATTCTCTGTCTCAAGTCAACGCTAAGCTCCTTTGTCTTCCCCATCATGTTGACAACGTAAGAATAACAATGGTGACACTCTATGCATCATGTGATGTTCTTTGCTGGAATTATCACAAATATTCTACTGAATAAATAGTCTTGACTGCTTCACCGATAAAATAATTATGTACATTCCTTATACTTACATGAATCAATCAATTTAAAACGATATTTTCAACTGTACACACAATTTTGTCTTTTCCTATTTTGCATAATTGACAAATTTGTTGCATTTAACCTATTGTTCTGAAAATTGAGTTTTATATTCCTTTTTTGTGCTTATTAACATATAAAAAACCTGGCATCATACAGGCATTAAATTCTGAGAAAGGACAAAAATATTCAAAATTGATGGGTGTATGAATAATTTCATCATTGACTGTATAACTTGGTTGGCTAAAATTTAGGATGAACAAAAAAACAAAAAGATCCGAATGCTTTGGCTTTACTTAATTATAGCAATGTAATATTCAGTCTTAAAAAGATTTTTCAAGAAGTTTTTTTTTGCAGAGAAACCAAATAAAAACCTCCAAACCAAACAAATAAAACTCACGTTGAGTCGGGACTGAACATACACTTGAGGGCGTATCGCTTGTGTGCCTGAAATTCTGCTCGACTGCAGAGAAATGTGCATTCACTCTTGTGACTTCCACTCAGAGACCAGACAAAACACCGACCCTAGAAAACAGAAAACAAAGCCTCGGTTAGCATATTGACATACGTGCGATATCTATGTTGTCAATAAACAAATGAAGTTCCATTTTTAGCAAAAAATTAAATTTGTTCCTAAAGAGAAAAAAAAACAATGAAAAAATAATGTCATAAATTTTATACTTTGACATTTTTTTTTAATTATTTAAAATTTAATTCCACTTTACCACTGCTGTTTAAAACCCTTGTTTTTGTCATATAGGAAAATCCAACATGGCACATGAACGAAATATTCGGCAAAAAATCCCATTCATCAGTAACATTTTAAACACCTCATAGAACGTAAAGTTCTTAAAGCAAACCTGCGCCAAACTGTTTTCCTGGATTTTTGATGACATGGCTGTCTGAAAATGTCAACATCAAGATGAAATAATGGAAACTGACCGTGAAAAACACAATTATGCGCAAAAAGTTTTCGATCAATCAGTAAATTTTCGGACCTTTTCGGGCAATGTTATAGGATCCAGACAGCTATTGTTTGCACATGGAATCATTCACTGGTAATTAATCTTCAATTTGGCTGTGGAAAATGTCACTCGGCGGTTAGCATTAAGAAATTATGCCCAATTTTCTGAGAAAAATCACCATTTTTTTTTTTATGAAAAATATTTATTTTCACTTCAAAATAATATCATTCAAATCTCATCCTTCTCCTTTAGTTGGTGTGAACATCATTGAATAAAAGGAATAGCTAAATGGCCTGGCAATGGGAAATACGAAAGATATGCAGCAAAAAAAACAATGTCATCTGCTAAGTGTTGTTGCCATCACCTGGGTCACAAGGTGTTAAAAACAAAACACATCAAGCCATTGTTCAAACATAGGTTTGGAAAAAAAAACAAACCTTATATCAAGCCCTACCAATGTTGACCCTTTTTTTTTTTTTCACTCTTTGCTCTTATCTGGGAGTGGTAGGTTTTATTACAAGATGACAACAGCTTGTTCTAAACATTCATTGCTGGCTGACCTTTGACCCAGACATGTCAAAGTCAATTTGGCTTAATTTTCCTAATCACTGCTATTTTTTGTTTTGGTTTCTGGTGGTCAGGAATTGCAGATAAATCTCACCTTTTCTGTGGCTGGGTGCCAATTTTTTTAACCCCTCGCAGTCATATAATTGAAAATTACCAATGGCCTCTGTCACATTTTGACCCCCTAGGAATGTTGATTTCCTTCAAAACTCTCAATTTTATGCCTGAAATAGTTTGATTATGATTTAGGTTTTCTGATTTTCAAAAAAAAAAAAAAAAAAAAAAAAAAAAAAAATGGTTAAATTCCCATTAATGGGGGAAATTTTGTTTAGAACTAGAAAAAAATGCAAAATTTTTGAGTAATTAACACCAGCCAATTTTACTTTTAAATGAAAGAATATATCCTTTGCTTTCAGAAAATACCTAGTTTCATGGGCTTCAGATCAGAAGTTTGCTTGATATTTGTTCAGATGATAAAACAGTCCTTTCAATATTTTGCCCCCATAAAAGTAAGAAAATACATTTTTTCAGAGAAAATAAGCTGTGACAAAATGACTTTTGCCATTTTTGTGATGACTTTTCACTTGGGATAGAAAATTTTTACCATAGCAAACATGAATTGACTTTAAGTTTAGTTGGGCTATAGGAAACCTGAAACAGCTGTGTTGCAGAGATGCAGAGTGCCATGATGGCTACCAGCATCAAAAATGGAATCAGTGAAGCAAGTTCAAGTTTCAAGCAAATCTGCTTACATTCACTTTGCACTGATGCCCAAACTAGGCTCTCTAGCATTGGTTGCTAACCAGTTTAGAAAATAGATGACTGATTCCAAACCATGAAGGGAAGTCCTAAAACAGATTGGTGGTAAACTTAACCTCATTTTTGTCAATTCTTTCAATCAAAAAGGCTGCCAGTTGTGGCATCTGATTGCACCACTGGGAAAATAAAAAAAAATCTTGATGATAAAAGAGGAGACCCAGCAACAATCTTCCTCTACTTTAAAACCATTTTTATTTTTTTAATAAGTTTCTGTGTAAAATCTCCTGCAGATATCAACTGAACAGTGGTCAACAAAAACAGTGTGGCAAATATGACTTTGATTTGATACGATAGCTTTTAATGGAACACTGACCAAATAAGACTAATATGTGCCAACAATAAATTAAAGAAAGGAAAAGAAAAAAAAGGAAAATCACTCATGCCTCAAGAAACTCCAAGCCATCATGGTTGCATAAAAGAGGAGAAAGTATGTGCCATTCTTTACTTACCTTATTATTAACACAGGCCATCATGGTCCCCATGGGGTCAATACAAATTGATTGAATGGAAGCATCTGGTTCTGGAATCTACAAAAGATTTTTAAAAAAATGTTTTAGAAGATCCATCTAAGAAATGTTTCTAAAAATAAATAAAATTAAAAAATTCTTTGCAAATTTATTTACAATTCATTAAAATTTTAAAAAAATAAAAGTCAATTTGGAAATAAATATTTGACTGGATTTCCAATATCAACAGAAGAATTACAAGCAGGTGATAATTTGATTGTTAGAGCAAAAGATAAGAGATATCCAAGGTTACATTGGATATCTCTTTATTGAGTGATTTAATGGATTATCATAAACTCATTAAAAGAAGGAAAAGCTAAAGACAGATCATTTTAATATTTGTAAAATCTGTATTAGATTGATTTATTTGTATCAAAATTCTGCCTGCTAAAATGTCTTAAATGTATTTAGCATTTGCTAAAAAAGATTACATTTCTGAAATGATTCAAATAAGAAAAGCTGATTCCTTGTTAATTTAGAAATGAAAAGAATAAAATGTGAACAATTTCCGACTGTTATAGAATTAAAACAAAAATATTCAGTCATAAAAAAAAACTTATAAAAAATACATTTTACAAAAAGTTTTAAAATGTTTACATCAAATTTTTTTGAATAATTGTTTCAAAGATATTTTTTTTTAGATTTTATTCATATAAATTTTCTACATACACTTTACATTTTGTATGATATTGCAACTGACATTTTTGGTCTTAACAATGAAATTTTTTTTTTCTTTAAATCATAAAATAAATTTTTCAAAAGCTTTTATTTATTTTTTAAGTATACTCAGCATTTAAAGAGAAAGAAAAAAATGACTATAAGTAATGAATTCTTATCACTTGAGAAAGAGATCTGACTGTAACTTACCCATTGTTCATTTTGATTACTTTTTAAATCCCAGACATGAATCACTCCATTTTGGTCTCCTATAAATAATTCTCCCTAAAAATATTCAGAGATTAATTTATAAACAATTTGCGGCAGAAGGAATTATTATTATTACTAATATATTGTACATGCTTATTGGATGTTACATACTTGTAAAAACTAAAATTCCAATTTTAAGAAAATGACTTTTCAAAAAATATTTGTAAATACAATAAAGAAAATATAAAGGAATTCCTTTTAAATAAGACTTAAAAATGAATCAACATTAATTCATGTGAAAAAATGTGTTATTAGTTTTGGATAATTTAATTTTCCCTGCTCCAATCTTTTTGGTTACATTTTTATCATCACAATTTTAACTACTCTACTTTTTCACTGACAAAATGGGTTCGTTTTTGTCAGAAAATCCCTCCGTATTCCCAACAACCTAAAATTACATCTATTAAAAATATGATAAAGAGAAAACAAAAAAATACATAGAAATTGATTCAAAGCAATAATAATAAAAGGATTGTTAAAAATAACGGACTTATTTTTATAAACCGTTTCAAAGGGAGATTACTACATCAGTAAAACAAGAAAATAATCACCTGGTTAGGATGTAGGCACACACAATTTACAGGCGCAGTAGCATCGAAGATACGTTGACATTGGAGGTTACGGGACCTGGAAAAAGTAAAATTAATCAAATAATTTGAAAGAAAATATAATACAATAATACAATAAACAACTTAGAAAGTGGCTACACAAACTAGTTTGTGACAGTATTTTGGATTTATTACTTAATTAATTAATCATATTTTATTAGCTTAAAAGCCTCCCTATCACAATAGGTTGGTAGGAGTAGATGCAATAGGCAATAAACTACAAAAGAACTCAAAATTGATCACTGCATTTAAGTATTGCATTAATATTTAAGTTTACCTTTTAGAAGTTTGTCGATAATTCTTCTGTCACCGTTTAATTTAAAGACAATTTGATGTATATAGGTTCTCACTTTCTGTACAAACAATTATTTTTATTTTATGGATAACTTTCAATAGCTTTTACAAATAATTTTGATTATTCCCAAATTTATTTCCAAGTTATAAAAATTGTTATTGTACAAAAAAGTTTGTTGCAAATAATAACATAAAAATCACAATAATGAAAACTTGAAAATCCAAAATTTCAGGATTACAGGTCCAGATCCAGCCAGGAATGTTTTTAATTTCCTCACAGAGTCAGCTTGATTCCAAAATGGTAGGATATATGCAATCAGAGAGCCGAGTTTGAATTCCAGTCAGGTTCGTGATATTCACTTATATACAAATACCCTTGGGAAAGGTATGAATCCATCTCTTCTCCTCCCCCCAGCTATGGGTTGGATAACAAGACAGAGTGGGTTCTTTATTTACATCATTATTTTGCTGGAAGATCCAATCAGGAGGAAAATCAAGATTTTCAACCAAAATCATTAATTTTGCTACCAAAATATTTTGACATGCTATTTTGATATTTTGATAGTGTGGTGGTAACACAACGATTCAACAGATAATAGCAAACAGGAACAAAAAATCCGTGAAGAGGGTAACCGACAAAAAACCAGTGTCACACGTCCAACCTTCTCACGAGCAAAAAGCCCTCTGATCAGAAACAAAAACACGCCTGCTTTATACAGCCGAGGACCGACCGCGATTTGCATGTGAATGACGAGACAATCAGATTTCGCTTTAACTCTCAGAGACCGCCTGGCATAAAACATGGGCGCCTCCATTTTGGTTCCTTTTACCGCTGAGCAAACCGGAGTTTGCACATCGCACAGATTCGCAGGCGTTTCCGAGGTAGGCCATTTTCACAATTTTCCCCACACTCCCCCCTAATCCCATGATCACAAACAGGGCAAGGAGGTGGCGATCGTCGCCGTCGAGTCCCCCCTCTGAAGGGGGACAACACAAGCTTCATCCTCATACGTATTCTCGTCTGTGGTAAACACTGTGTCCGCCGGGAGGCTGCTGATATCAGAATCACTGCCCTGCAGGTCTAACTCCAAGCAGATCGCACGCTCACTACTCTCAGACTCGGAATCGCTTTCATCGTTCAGTAACGGTAGCGATTGCATCACCAGTCGCAAGTCTTTAATGTGACGAGGCACCCGATCAACTCTCACAGATTGCAGGCTAATCACCTCCGTAACACGCCGAGTGCCGTATTTTGTCGTACACTTGCCGCATGGGTTTTTGACCCAAACAACATCTCCTTTTTTCAATCTCCCTCCAGTCACTACTAGTTCAGGCAGCAGGTTGGCTTCAATGCCTTTCACTCGGACATGATATTTGTGCAATGCATCAGCCGGCGCCGTGGACAGTGAAACGTTATCTTTCGGGGCAACATTATACCAGTAAACCGCCTCCGATACTGTACAGCCCTTCCTGGCTGCGATGGTCTTGACGGTTCTGTGGTTCCACTCCACAATACCGTTTCCACTTGGCGAGTAGGCACATCGAAACCGCAGATGCACATCTCAATTGTCCGCCAATTTTTTAAAGTCTTTACTGGTAAATGCAGTATCGTTGTCAGTATTTCCATGGGTGGGCCTCGCTCCAGGAAAACATTCTCCAACAGTCGAATGACAGTACTCGCATCTTGTCTGCGCAGCGGCCACCATACTGCAAACCTAGAGGGACCGCAATCAATAAGCGTTAAAAAATTCACACTATTGTAGTGAGTTATGTCCATCGCTAGTCTGCTCCAGTTGCTCTTCACGCTCAGTTCTCCTCTTTCCCAGAGAACGGGTGCCGGATTGATCGACTGACAGGTTGTGCAGGCCTTCACAACGGATTTAACGCTTTCTCTGGACACCTGCGGGTCAACTAACCTGGCGAAGTACAGAGTTTGTTTTACGCCCGGATGTCCGCTTTGACGATGGGTATTGGCCACCTGGTCCTTGTCTCCCTACCACTGCACAGCTCTCAAGCGCCGGTTCTCCTCTCTTGAGCAGTTCTAGCCACCTGCGCAGTACTCTGGTGAGGCGATCCGCACGGTTCTGACAGGACTGTACGAGTGTCACATCTATGGTCAATCCAATATTCTTCCACCAACGATCGCAAAATGCCCAGCCATCGCCTAACCAGCATCTCGCCAGCCGCCCTTGTGTTCACCCGTGCCTTCCCGATCAAGGTGTCGGAAATCCACCGGTGCATACACACCGAATCAGTAACCAAGTGCAATGTTGTCGCCTCCCACTGGAGGGCTAGATTCACTCCTTTAAGCGCCGCATCGACTTCAGCCAAATTGATGTGCCTGGCATCATTAGTTGGACGCAGCCAACACGCATCTTCGATGACATTTCCGTTCGCTTCCAATGCCACTCCTGTTGCCACGGAACTTGCATCCACCCAGACTGTGATCTCGTCACCACCCATGCACCAGTCTCCTCCAATGGGATCCAGTTCGCGCCTACTTAACATCTCCGCTAGTATCGACAGAGAGAGGGATCTTTGATGTTATCATCCCATCCATTGGTTGCTGCAGTTGCCAGGCGCTTGATTTAATGCAACTGCCACCCTGAGCCATCCCACATGGGGAAATGTTCAACAAGTTTCCCACAACTAAAAATACGTGTCACCGGTCAACACATCAGGGACTTCGGGATATGACTTCCTCGTTTCCATCTGAGGGTGTCATTCTCTTCCCAGACTTGCAAGCCAAGAACTCTTGCTCCATCTCTCAGTCACACCAGATCCTTGCACACCAAACCGTAATCCGAAAAGTGTTGTCGTACACGTGATGCAGAGACCAGACTTTCATTAATGAAAATATCATCAACGTATGCTGATGTGGCACTTTCAATTGTGCGGTTTTGCGATGTGATGGCGTCTATAACGGATTTCATAATGATTGGTGCCACATTTAGTCCAAATCCTAGCCACGTAAGACAGAAGCGTTGGCCTTTGAAAATAACCATTTGAAATGATCACAGCGCTTCGTCGATGGGAATCTGAAGATATGCGTTCCGCAGATCCAGAAGCGACACATTGACCCCTGCCGCCACCATGTTCTCAGCTTATGTGCGCACACTTCTGCATCGGCAGTAAAAGCATCCACAAAGTCATTCAATTCGCAGTAATCGAGTACCAGACGCACCTTGTTTCTGCTCCTGCACGACTGCCATCAAGGGAATCAGACCGTTTGGGGGTCCCAGTCTTTCCTGGGGGTACGGAATCAACCAGCCGTTTGCAATCCACCGTTGAAGCTCTTTCTTGTATTTTCCTCTGATGCTATCGGGAACCTTGTACTCTGCGACCTTGTTGTGAAGCTGAACTGGTGGGTCTTTTTGGGCCCATTTCCACTTGGCGGTCCACACCCTCTCGTCGGAATTGAAAGAGATGTCGAAATCCGGCTCGCTAATGCAAAGTGCTGCACACACCTTTCTTCCTTTGCCCAGTTCCACATTTCCGGCTGGCGTGATTATCATGCCTCCTAACACTCGCATTGCATCGATCCCGAGCGGCAGGTCATAACCGAGGGGCTTTGATGTGCCACCAAAACGTCAACCTTGGCATGATTCCCTCAGTCTGTGAGGATTGATACAGTCCCGACACCACAACAGGCCCGGGACACTCCATCAATCGTCCGAATCTTGATTTGTTGACTACTCCATGTCACGCATCGATTGGGAACATCCAGTGTCAACGAGCGCTGAACATCGTTTACCCTCAACACACATGTTGACAACAGGCAATGCCGCATTTACTGACCGTGAGGGAGCAAAGGTTGCGACGGCACCTTGTCCCCGGACTCGTTTCCCGAGCAATCCTGTGCTACATGGCCTAACTCATTGCAGCGATAACAGCATAGTCGTGCTCGTGTCCGTCGGCTACTCCCGCCTCCTACGTCACTTTGGCTCCAGCAGTCTCTAGAGAAATGATTGGGTCCACCGCACTTGTAGCACTTTGGGCCCTCCCACGGTGTCTCAGGCGTTCTCACGGCTGCTGCGACCTGTTCCGTGTCTTTCAAGATGTTTCAGGCCCTGGCTAGCAATTCGTCAATTCCCAGTGTGTCCAATCTTGAAGACGCTTGCAGGAGCCGACTGGTGTCGTCGGGAAGTCCTGCCAGGAAGGCGCATCCCAGTATGCGGTCCATTGCTCCGCCAAACGGCACTGCCAGATTTTGCAAATCTGGCCAGGTAGACATCCGTCTCACCCGTCTCGAGCCATCGTCCGACGAACTGTTTTCAAGCGATGAAGGGGTCTATTCCAAAAGCCGTACATAGGGCACTCTTGATCTCTTCTAGGTCAGCATCGTCCCCGAGTTGTTGATATACGGTGTAGGCTCCCCTCGTGAGTCTCAGTGGGATGACCAGTGTAGGGTCTTTTATTTTGGACACCATGCAAACACGTTCGGCCTTCTCAAACCATTCGACGACAGTCAGGCCCGTGGGAGAGCCGTCGAATTCTGGGATCAATTTTAGATCGAACTTGTCCATCGCCAAAATAGCTTGTGGTGGTAACACAACGATTCAACTGATAATAGCAAATAGGGACAAAAAATCCGTGAGGAGGGTAACCGACAAAAACCAGTGTCACACGTCCAACCTTCTCACGAGCAAAAAGCCCTCTGATCAGAAACAAAAACATGCCTGCTTTATACAGCCGAGGACCGACCACAATTTACATGCAAATGACGAGACAACGAGATTTCGCATTAACTCTCAGAGACCGCTTCAAATAAAACATGGGCGTCGCCATTTTGGTTCCTTTTACCGCTGAGCAAACCGGAGTTTGCACATCGCACAGATTCACAGGCGTTTCCAAGGTAGGCCATTTTCACAATTTTCCCCACAGATAGGCATTCATTCTACCATCTATTACGGATATGTTGCCAGTACCTTTTGCAGAAAACACATCCTCAAACCATGATGCTGCCACCACCATCTTTCATCCATACATGATTTCTAGAATTACGTCCAAACAACTCAATTTTAATTTTTGTCTGTCCATAGTACCCCTTTCTCAATACAATTTTTCCTTATACTTATGTTCACACACAAATTTCAACCTGGCATTTGTGCTTTTTCAATAACAGTGGAGATTTCCAAGGGGAGAGTGATTTTAGATTGTTCCTATGAATTTCATTGATTATTGTCCATTTAGTGACACAAATTCTTGATGAAAGCAAATCATCCTGAAAGTCTTGATGAGTAACTATTGGATTTTGTTTAATTTGACACATTAATTTCATTGAATATCTTGCAAAGATCTTCCTTGGAGCACCTGTTTTTTGGTTTTCAACAGTTTTGAGATTTTTTTATACCTTGAAATGAATGAACTAATGGTAGTAAATGAAATATTCAGGTTGTCTGAGATTTTACTGCAACTTTTAAAAATTACTCACCATTAAATCCTTATCTTTCTACCCTTCTTTCACAAATAAACTCAAACATACGCATGAATTTGTTAGTTATGAAATCAATTAAGAAACTATTCATTAACATAATTTTTTGTTGTTTCTTTTGTATTTTTCAATGAACCGCTTTACGGCAAGTCATTTTTATACTCATCCTTGCTCTCCATCATTTTATATATTTTTTGTATATATTTATATACACATTTCAAAAGTCCATTTCTAAAGCCCAAAATGAATTCCTAATATTGCTTTCTTCATAGCCATTCTCTGTGCAATGGATGCTTTTGCATGCATTGATAAAACCTATTTACATTATTTATATGCAAACTATTGTCCCCATCTTTGTTGTTATTATCACCTTTCAGATGTTTTACCTTTCAGCTTCCATAAGGTGATTGTCAATCCAGGTAACCAAAACTGAACCCTTTCATCTATAGGAGTAGATTCTTTTTAGTTCTGCTACCTATGGCTGGGGATATGTCTCATTTAGCTTTTAAGCTTACAGCCATATCACAGTAAAACACCAGTATACCCCCCTCCCCACCATTCTATGGGTTAATTAGTAAATCAGTATTATCTCAAAAAAAATTCTTACAATCTAAAAAAAATATTTTCTGGTCAGAATAACCTGCAAAAGGTTGATAAGCCATAAAAACAAAATCAATCAATCAGTCATTTTGTTTTTATTTAGTACTGCTCAGTTATTGCTCACACCATTTCCAAGAATGTACTGCCTGTCCCAAGGATTGAACTCACAATTACTGTCACCAAATTCACAAATCAACACTAATCTACTACATTATTGTCCTGTGATTGAGTCGTACTAAATAAGAATTAGATGAAATATTCTTAGCAGAACAAGAACAATCTATCCCTGTTGATTAAATAAAGAGTTCAGTTCGAAATTTCCTGAAGGTTACCTGTATTGACAGGCACCTGATGAAGTCTGGAGGGCACAACAGCCAAAATACATTGATAACAAGAACAAAAATGAGGACAATAGTCTGTATAAATGGTAATTCCTCATTCCAGAAATTTAGACAGAAAACTGTTTTATAAACCAGTAACACTAATTGCATCACCAGCAAATCTCTCAGAATCTTTCGTTCTTCTGCTAATCTCCTGACCTCAATTTTATAATTTTGGTAGAAAGACTCTCTCCCAAATTCCTCTAATTTACTACACCCACTGTTTTTCTGTTTTTAGTTCTCTTTAGTTGTTGACACATTTGTTTCAGTAGAGGCAGTGGAGCCAAAAACCCTTGCTGATGGCTGCTCCCATATTACATTGTGTAGTCTATTAATTTAGGTTAGTAACAAACAGTGTTGTTTAATCTCTTAAAAATTGCAGTCATATTCTACAGGGTAAAATTCTGTAAGTTTAACCAAGCAGCCCTCTTGAACACACTCCTGTCTCTTTACCAGTCATTCTTTTCTAACCACTTTCCACAGATAAGTGTTTTATCATTACCAGGATTTCTTTTCAGTTACATCTCTCTCTTCTGTAGTTTTCAGCTGGTTAACAACCACTTCATATTAGGTTTCTCTGGTTAGTGTTTTATCATTACCAGGATTTCCTTTCAGTTACATCTCTCTCTTTTGTAGTTTTCAGCTGGTTAACAACAAGAGTGTGTTCAAACGTATATAAGTATATGACAGTGCAGAGTGTTTAATACTAATGGGATTTGCATATTCATGGCCTTTGTCCAGGCTAAGCCAAATATAGAAAATACCTACAAGAAACCTAGCAACTGAAAAGTAAAATAATAAAGATGAAAATGAATGAATCTTTTATATTAATTTTAAACCCTCCACCCCCAATATACTCACCGTTGGTCCCATATCCTCGTAGTCATGTCTTCGCCACCAGAATACATCCATTTGCCATCCTCTTGAAAACCAACAGCAGTGACATTTTTGCTAATTCCTTCAAAATCTATCACAGGGGCAGGGTTTTTAGAGTTAATGTCAAACATACGGATGTGTTGAAAGCCTAAAAGTAAGAGAGGTCAAGACATCAAAAGACAGGAAACATGTAGTTAGTTATTCAAAGAAAATATTAGACACATGTAATTTACTTCTTGTCTGGTTTTGAATAAACTACACTTTCTTTCTCCACAACAAAATCATTAGGTACCTTAAAGGATAAAAAAATATTTATGATGAAACAGAACTGAATATTATTATATGCCACAGTATTGAGGCCTTGTACCAGACAATTTTAATAAACAACTACATATCCATGTCTCAATTCATCTAGCCACTGTACATTATATCAGTTCTTAGGATACAAATTAATGTTTTCAAAATAAAATTACTATTAACCAACCAATGTTAAAATTGATATGATAAACTTCTAGGATATATATATATACACACAATGTAAATTACCAATCACATAAACTTATATTTTCTGTTCTTATTAGATATACAATAACTTATTTGGTGGTCTGAGAGTTTACTAGTTGCCCTTCATGTTTATATATATATATATATATATATATATATATATATATATATATATATATATATATAAATTTACTAATTTAAAAAATATTGTTTCATCACTACCTGGGAATTACCATGTTTCAAAAACAGAAACTAAAAACTTCACATTCAATTATAGTATTAAATTAAAGTCCCTAGTTTCATTTCATTTTCAAGTGAATTTCTCATCTATTGAGGATCTAGACAACATAAAAGTTTACATTGGATGCACAAGACATGAGTTCAAAAAAATGGTTCAACCAACATTAAAGTTCTTTTAGGATAAATAAATACCGAAATCAGACATCCCTATTGAAATATTCCTGACACTTAAAAGAAACCAATAAAATACCTACTGTGAAATGGAAATTAATAAGAAAAGCTAGAATATGTAGGTCATTAAATGACCCATGTCCTTTGTGCATACATGAGAAACTATATATTACTAGGTTTATAAAAATTAAAAATTTACTTAATCAAAGAAATGAAATAGCTATTCTTTGCCGACATTGTCAAAAATTTTCCTTAAATAATGTGCTTAAAAAAAAAAAAAAAAGCTGATAGATGAAATATACATATTTATATTTGATATTTTAATAATAATTTTTAAATAATTTAAGTAATTCTATTACATTTATATGTTTTAAAAGAAGCATAGTCTATTAATAATTAAAATTAAAAATAATATTTTAAAACTGTAGTTCAATATGACATATTCATATACAAATAACCTTTTTAGGAAACATTTCTATGTATACAAGTACAAATTTAACGGTGGAAAAAAAAAGTGCCAAAAAACTTTTTGTCATTGATAAAGACCAGACGACATGCGTTGAACGGATGTCATCATTCGTTAGAAAACGCACCCCTACCCTACCTTGACTTAACCTCTTTTCGAAAGTAACTCATATTCTGATACAACAGTTGTCAGTGAAAATGTATACCCTACCACCCCTTGTTGTTAAAATCATTGGATTTCCCTGTATCCTTAGAAATTAATATTATGAATGTATGTGCTTTTATAAAACTCAGTAAATTTCAAAATAAATTATTCTAAAATTCTCTTGAAAATGAAACAGGACTAGGGACTTTAATTTAATTCTATAATAGAATTTGAAGTTTTTAGTTTCTGTTTTTGAAACATGGTAATTCCTGTGTAACAATGGAACCATATTTTTAAATTAGCAAATTTATAATATTTATGCTCTTTAGATTTGCATTGGCCACTGTTTTGTAAGAAAAAAATATTAACAAGAACACCAGATTATATATCTTACTGTTCTTTCTTTTTATTATAATATATCAGGCATATGCCTCCAATAATTAATCAGGTTAGGCAGCTTGTGACCTCTATATAATAAATCTACAAAAAAAAAGTAAAATATTTTGCATTTTATGCATAATAAACAGTGTAACCTTCATAATTTTGTTGGATGAGGTGCATATTGTGCCACAGAAGGAAAAATAAGCTGCTAATCTATTTTATTCAGAATAGGTATTGCTTACCTTGCCTACCTAGATGGCACTTCCTTGATTATATATATATATATATATATATATATATATATTAGTTTTATGGTATGCTATATTTATAGGTTAAAGTGCTCAATATCAGGATAGAGTGTATGTAAATATAAAAGTGGACATTGAAGTCAACACCCAACAGCAACTGTCTGTTTCATGCTTAAACACAATCTTCAGGCCATCAGCATGAAACAGACTGTTGCTGCTCAATAGAGTTGGTCAGTTTGGCAATTTATGTTTCGGTATCAGTCTCCATATTTTTTTTGTTTACCTTGATACCGTGGTTTTTGATTCATTTTTTAATTTAGTATTTTTGCTTTATAAGGAAGCCATTCATTTTCTTGTGTAATGATAGCATTTCCAGTCAATATCTGATTTTGTTTGAGATTGATAAACTTGCAACTTAAAAATATTCATATGTCTGGAAAGAAAAAATAATCTTTCTAAAAACATAATTTGTATGTGCTTTTATTCATTGAATTTTTTTTTTACAGCAAGTTAAAATGGTATTGCTTCAACCAGCCAATAATGCAAAATATGATTTTATTTTTGAGATAAATTTTACATGTTACTGACGTTACTTTGTTTCGCAAAATCAAAGTGACCAATCTTTATCAATATTCTTGAAATTGTACGCTCAATTAGAAGACACCTTAAACTACAACCAGGAAGATGTTCATTTCTTCTCTGACCTGTGGAAGCAAATTCCTTCAAAAATTATAAAGCAAGCAAAAAAAAAATACAGCAATTCTTTTCTGGTATGCCAGTCAACTATTATTGGGGTTTTGCAAATAAATTTCTTCTAAACAAGGAAAATGAATGAGTTATTTTCTTCCGCTAAATAAATTTACATTTTTATCGAGTGAATGCACCTAAAATACTAAAAATAATTAAAATTAAAATCTTTTCATTTCATTTTTAGAATTTCCAAATCTACGAGTATCGCCTATTCTTTTTTAGATACACATTTTAAAACTGAAATTAAAAACTATTTTAATCATTTTTATATAATCTTAAGTGTATTATTTGCCAGATAAAACCATAAAGTTATTTGTAAAAATAAAATGAATTAATTTTCCTTGTTTAGAAGAATTTTATAGACAGAACAATAACAAACACCCACCAAATACTAGTGGCTAAAAAAGAATAATTTTTACTTTGGCTTTTAAAAAAAGATTTGCAGTTTTGAAAATATACACATTTTAAAACTGAGATTAAAACTTACTTTATTTTTTTAAATCTAATTTTAGGTTTATTCACTAGATAGAAACATAATTTTATTTGTAGAAAACAAACAGTTTTAGATTAGAGGCTTACATATATGGAAATGTACACATTTTAAAAGTGAAATTAAGAATTATTTTAATTATTCTTAATACCTAATTTAGGTGCATACCGTAGATAAAAAATAAATTTATGTATAAAAAAAATCTTCATTCATTTTTCTTGTTTACAACTTTATTTCATGATTGGCATACACTGGCTTGCTAGAAAACCCTTACAAAAAAAATCCAACTTCATAAAATTTAATATTAAGATGTAACCGAAAAAAAGCCAGTTTTTCGGTTACACCTCTCATCTCTACTGCTTGGTGTTCACCTCAATAATAAATTACAGACATAATGTCTGCTTATTTTTATCATAATCCATTCATATTCACAAATATTTCTCCATATATTATGATCAAATGAGGCAAAAAATATACCGTAACAGTGAAAATCACTTTTATTTCGCAAGTAATTTCCATCCCTTTCTGAGATCTATCGCCAGGGATGCAAAAACTATGTGTACCTATCCATTACTGAATTTTTTGGGATAGCCACCCATTTTTTATTTATTTTTTTTTTTTTTACCAAAACAATGTTTTCAAGACACCAGATTAATAGCCCACCAGATATTCAACAGAAAACTTGAGGTTTATCATTAAAAGAGATGTACATGAGAATTGAAGACACTTCAAGTAAATAAAGATCTCTGAGAAATGATAAAATCAGCTACAAGAAATGTTAAAGGTGAAGTAGGAAAAAAAGTTAACAACATCAATGGTCAAAAAGACTGACGAAGGTTCAAGAATGTCGAAGAGTCCATATTAATATGTAAAATAATAATTTACTTGGGTATATGGGATACAGTGTTAAACAAATGTTTCTTGAGCCTATATCTTTCGAATTTATTTATAAATAAAAATTAATGCTGGACTTCATTTACAAAAAATTCAACATCCTCAAAACAAGTAAATATCAATGTTTTTAATAAAGATGGATATTAGCAGCTGAAACACAAACGATATATAGTTCATACAAATGTAAATATATAGTGAAAAACGTTAGCAATATCATTTGGTTATTATATTCTTTGCTATTCAAACAAGCAAGCTCTTCTTGGTTGTTATACTCACAATGTCTTGGTTATTGTTACATCATGGCCTTCTTCATGTGTTTTTATACTTAGAACTTTAAACTAAACCTTTTATTCAATCCATGAAGGTAGATTGTTCTCATTCTGCTTTCTATGCTTAAGGGAGATAATTTGTATCAGTTAATACTTTACAGTTATTTTTCCTTTGTGTCACTTGCCCATTTCTTCCACTGCTTTAATTTACTAAGCTGTGTGTCTCTTGAAAGAATCATTTCTTGTCAACCTAACAGAGATAAAAACAATCAAGGACTCTCTTTTTAACAAAGAATTAGAAAAAAAAAAAAAAAAACATTCCACCACTTGAGTACAGACATTAGGTATAAAGTTCTATAATGACACCACTACTGAATTGTTCAAGAGATATATGAATTAAAGTGTTGGTTAAAACATATCTAACAGTTGTGAGTTGAAATCCTGAGTCAGATAATGCAAAAAGTCACATACTTCAGATCATGGCCAACTAGCATTATATGCCCCCGCCCCCAACATGTCACACAAGAAGCTGAATTCTAACAGGCCGATGTAAGCAAAAAAATGTGAATGGCTGCTTAGAAAATTGCTTATTGCTAAAAGGGAGGTAATTTTAGAAATTGAATTCTTAGAATGTAAATTAACAACGTACAATTACGTAGAATTTATCAGACGTTATTTCAATTCCCTAGACATGTTTTCAACATTAAAATATATATTTAGACTCTTTTTCTTTTTTTAACTAATCCACGAATTATAAACAGCTGTGAGTTACCTCACTTTTATGATTTTCAATTGTGTATATGGCCCATTTTGCAAATGAATGCTATTAGGGAAATTTGTAGAAAAATGGATAAAAATTCGTTAATCGTATTGATTGGTTTCCTCCCAAAAATTCAGTTCTCTGTATGAAATATTTTGATGAGAAATTTATTTTGAAAGGAAAATGAAACAAAATGATTTGGGAATTACATCCAATGCCTACAATAAATTCAGAAAAAGTAAGAAAACTTTTGCTGAATACAAGGGAATTAAGAAAGCCTCCAAAACAACAACTCGTCCAAATTGATGAATTACATGATTTTATTTCAGCTGATACAATAAAGGATTTTACTCAATTGGAAAAAGCAAAGTGTTGTCCTAACAGTTTTGAATTTAAAAAGGGAAGATTATATTCTAATTTATAGAATAGTCTTTGACCCTGAAACACATTTTCCATCTATAAAAGAATGTATTTGCTTTGACCAAAACATTCACATTCAGATCCAGTGCGATGGAACTCCTATACTATTACCACAATGGCTTATACATGGACATAATGCTAAACTCACAGAAAATTTTCTACCTCATAGTCCATTGCATTTAAAAATTAAATTAAAGTTTGTCATGATATTTTGTTTAACAAAAATGGTTAACAAATGTATTGCATTTGGTTGTTCTAGTGGATATGATAATAATAACAGTAAAAAAAGTATCAACATTTTCTTTTCCTTATGGAAAATCTGACCTCATAGAAAAATGGATAAAATTCATTAATCATATTGATTGGTTTCCTATAAAAAATTCAGTTCTGTGTATGAAACATTTTGAAGAGAAATTTATTTTGAAAGGAAAATGAAATAAAATGATTTGGGAATTACATCCAATACATTCAGAAAAAATAAGAAAAGCGTCTCTTTTGCTGAATACAAGGGAATTCAGAAAACCTCCAAAAGAATGACTTGTCCAAACTGATGAATTACATGATTTTATTTCAGCTAATACAATAAAGGATTTTAATCAAATGGAACAAGTGCTGTCCTAACGATTTAAAAAAAGTAAGATTATATTCTAACTTATAGAATGGTCTTTAACCCTGAAACACATTTTCCATCTATAGAAAAATGTATTCACATTGGCCAAAACCTTCATGTCCACCTCCAGTGCAATGGAACCCCTATACAGTTACCAACCACAGTGGCTTATACATAGACATAATGCTAAACTCACAGAAAATTTTCCAAACTACATACAAAACATGGTGGAAGAACAACCTTACTCAATTCTAAAAGAATTACAAAAAATACAACATTACCAACCATAACTTCATTTTCTGCAGAACTAATACATTATGCCTTACTACTGCACTTATACATCTAAACAAGTCAACAAGTTACTTCTGAAGAAATTTCCATTAACATCTTTTTCTTTATTAGAGAAAATTCAAAAAATTTAATTAAACTTTTTCAGTGGGAAATATGTTCCCTAGTCATGGTAGGCAATGATAGTGATGATGTTACAGAGAAGCAACACTTTGACTTACTTTCCTGAGAAGGTCTTACAGTTCCATCTAGCCAAATGGAAGAATTCATTTGTGCTTGTTTTGCTATACTTGACTATGCAGATAAATTTCATTGTAAAACATAATGAATCCACTACAAAAGAGTCTGCTGAAAGGATTTGGGAAACTTATTCTCCAAAATATGTTTTTACTTGCGAACAACACACTGAAAAAGTAATTTACATTGCAACAAAAATTGTTATGAATATATTTTACAACAACAAACGAAAGTTTTCATCAGATGAAGTTCGAAAAAATATTGTAGAATATTTTAAAAAGGTAAAAAGAAAATTGATTTATAAAGAAACTGTTAGTAAGTTTTTTTTACTTATTTGTTTTGTATTACTGCTTAATTCTTTAATAACTTTTTTTGTTTGTTTACAATCTTTTATTATTACTTTTCTATTTAAAAAGAGATAAAAACAATCTGTTTTGTATTTTTGGATGGTTTTAACATGTTTTAGATAAAGCAGACATTAAATTGACAATAAAACAAATAGGCCTGTTAGAAATTAGACTGAAATGTGACATGTGGGGACTGTATATATTAGCGAGCCGTGTCTAGATCAGTGAAAGTAATGTACAAATGATATAAAGGCAAAGTGTAATGAATGAAAAAGGACTGAATAAAGGTTTGGATCAAAATTTTGAGCAGGTTACCAAGTACAACAAACATCCCAGTTAAAAGAGACGTTGAAACAACCAGATGAGTTCCATTGTTGAAATGAAAAGATTTACACGAAACTCATTTAAAAATGTATAGAGTGAAGTTCACTAAAACTAACTAAATATGAAAAAGTGAAAATAATGAATACATACCGGCTCCAGCAACCAGCTGTCGATCTGGTGTGATATCCAAATCATTTACTTGCTGAGAAGATGTTAAGGAAACATTTATAATTGACAAGAGAAAGAAATTATAACATCTTAATAAAAAATATCCAATGTTCCAAGCACCATCATGACTATAGTTAGATGAGAATCTAAAATTTAGGTGTGTTTAACACAAAATTTTAACTAATCATTTCTTCGGCATTTTTTTTTTAAATTTTATACAAAAGTTCTGAGTGGAAAAAAAAATTTAATCTCTTGTCAAAAAAATAGGCTGGAAACTTGCAAACATCTTGCCATCAAGTACGTTTTTCAAAAATTTCAATGCAATGTCAATTGTCATCTTTCATTTTTTTAATCTTATTTCATTTATTGTCCTTTCTCCTCAAGAATGTTTTCTCAGTTTCTTTCATTCTCAGTAACTCCTTGCATCTCAGTGGCTTTCTCCCCTTAATTTGGGGTGAGATGATTAAAAAAAAAAATCCATTATCAGGTGACCATGAGATTCTATTGTTTCTATTAAGTTTTTTTTTTTTTTTCTTTCATTTTACTTTTTGTTGGTTTTTGCCACAATACAAAAAACATATTCTACAAGCATTTAAGCAATATGGAAGTAGTTTTATCACAATAGAACGGACATATACTTTATAACCATTAAGCAATTTGGCACCTCTTGTGTGTCTGATCGAACAACACGTTATCAATGAGGCTATAAAAGTTAAATAGCAGAAGTATTCCAGATAAGAAAACCAGGCCATGATTTAATTTACTGTCAGTTCTCCAATAATTTCAGTGACTAGGCTTTAAATATTTATAATGTTCAATGTTTTGTTTACTTCTTGCATTCCTACCTAATTTGGAAATATAAACACTTTCTAGATTTTTTAATACAAATGCATACCTCTTCACAAGATGATCTGAGTAATGTATTATTCAGTACTTTTAACTTAAAAGTAGATTCTATGAACCATAAGTAAATGAATAGAATTTTTTTATTAAACCTCTCAGTAAAGTAAAAACAAAACTCAGAGAAATAAATCATATTCAAAACAACAAAAGCCGACCAAAAATGGCAAAGAACAAAGACATTTTTAGAAATCTAATAAAAAGTGATTGTTATCAAAATACCTAAATAAATAATTTTAAACTCAAACAACGTTTATAGAAACATTTTTAATAAGGTAAATGTAAACTACACAATTTAGACAAAAATCCATTATCCTTAATTTCACTATACCATTTTAAAAGACATTTTTGCAACAAAATAAAAATAAATTAACTAATCATATGTGAGAAAAACTGTGCTTTTAAGTTTGCCATTTATCTAATCATTGCAATAAAACAGTGTAGAGAATTAAAAAAGACTTCCCATCTATTATGAGTTGTGGAAATGCTTGAATGCCTACTGTAGTACATACATTATTTCTCATTTTCTTTCACACTCAGTAACCCTCCTTGCATTTTAGTGGCTTTATTGCCTTATTTGGGGTGAAGTGCTAAGAAAGTACAAGTTTTAAAATCAGAAAGATTACAGGAAAAAATGCATATGGGCTCTGAATACTAATTCTTTCTTTACAACAGTTAGTAATTTTTTTTTTTTTTTGTTTATTTGTTTGTCCTCCAATGTACACAAAATTATAGAATTTAGAATTAGGTCCCCAAAAGTTTGGAATTTTAAAGTGATACCATCTGAAGAATAAAAGCTTTTTATTTTACATTGTATTACCAACAAAAAATAAAAAGAAAGATGGTTAGATTAAAAATGGTAGATTTCTACTTAGTACTGTAGTACTTAAAAAATAGAAATAAATTTATTTTGAAAAAGGAAGTTTTAATTTCAGTTTTTAAAAAAAATGATACATTGGCTGTCATTTCCGTGAAAAAGAAACAATGTGCTGTCTCAGATATTTTTTGCTTGTTTTATTTTTAAAAAAATTAAAATAATTCTTGCTATTTTTACAGCTTTAAACCAGATTTTTTTTTTGTTAAAAATCGTATTGAAAGAATATTAAAAATTAATTTTTCTGAAAAACCCAATTATACTTTCCTCTTAACAACGGCACCTGGCTAAAATAAATAAAAAGAATACCAATTCCTTAGAATGGTACTTACTTCATTTATTAAAAGATAAAAAGTTTCTAATGATGTAACAATTAAGAGGTATTAATTAGTTAATAATAGTGACAACATGCTCTTTTGTAATATTTAAAAATAAAAAATATGCTACGTTAAACATTTTTTCTCTATCTTTGAAGAATAACACTAAGTTTCTATGGACGATCATTTGGGTAACAATATTTTTAATTAGTTAAGAATAATTCTTAAATTAATTTCTTAAAATTTAGACAAATTATTTCCAGAAACGTCAAAATAACTCCAAAAATCAAATGAAGTTTCAATGTAATGTCAAGATCGCAAACAATGGAATTCATTTGATTTGATTATATTTTTATTCTAACATATTTCTTAGTGTTAGTCTCCACGTGGTCGAAATTATCTACTAATCTACTAGTATAATTGTACGAACAAAAGAAAATATTTATTTCTTGTACAACTTCAATAGATTTAAATTAAAAAGTATAATTTATATAGCGTATTTATTCTTTTCGAAGCGTTTTTTTCTTTTTATTTATATCACTGATGGTCTTCTGTAGCGAGAAAAAGAAACAGTTAAAAAAAGCAACTATCGCAAACTAAACACTTTTTTAATTGTTGACGAGTAAAAAAAAGGTAATTGTAAATAAACGGTTATTAAAAAATTGAACGTAATAGAAATTAAAACCAAGATTTGAGTTATTTTACTGAATTATTTAAACAAAAAAGTATAAAAACCAGGTAATGTTGTTTTATAAAAAAAAAAACGAAAATAAAATTCAATGCTCAAATTTCGTGGTAAAGAAAATTGAGTTCGAATCACATAAACGATTTGTTTTTTAATTTCGCCTTTTCTAACCAAAAAATGAAAACAAAAATTATTATGCGATCATCGATATTAAAATCAGTTTAAAAATGGACAAAAAAAAAGCAAATATCAACCAAAAAAAAGGTAAAATTTGTGTAAATACTTTTTAGAGTAAAACAAAAAAAAATGTCGATTATTTGGGAAGATTTTTTTATGAAGAAAGTAAAAAAAATTAAAAAAAATGAGAAAATGTCTTGTTTCTTTTTAATTAAGCCAGGGATTAAATAAAAAATATGAAATAAATAAAGAGAATAAAAAATACAAGGGAGAAAATGATAAATAAAAAAATATATTTGAATACGAAAAAAAGTAAATAAATAATTCTTGGTTCAAAATCACAAAAAAAAAAAATTAAGTCAGTTAAGTTTTAAGTTATTTAAAAAATAATAAAATTTGCAAATTAATTAAAAATAAAATGTTTTATAGTCAACTTGTCATCAAAAATAAAACACAAAATTAATTAGAATTATATTATCAATTATGAATTAAATTTTTTGGAGAGAGTGAGTGTATTTTAAAAGGAATTTTAACAGAGTTTTTATTTTGAATTAATTTTAAATTACAGTATATTTTGAAAACTTTCAACACTTATTTATTTTTCACAGAAAAAAAACAATAAATAATCGACTTTCGCAAACAGGAAATTTATTAGATTCCCAACCAAACCAAAAAACAAAAAATCATATTGAAAATAAAAATAATACTTCTTTAAAAGTAAAACTTTTAAAAATAAAACTTATTTTGCTCTCGTAAATGTTTTAAAATCACAATATGAGTTACGGTAATAATTTAATGATTTTTTTTAATGTGATCTCATATTACTAACCGACTTTTAAAAAAAACTTGACCAGCACTTTGGCTTTTGTTGTTTGAGACTAAGAGTACTGTAAGAATAACAGTTTTAAAAGTAGAAAATAAGTAAAAAATGTCTGTTGTAAATAAAATGAAGAACTGTGAAAGAAAAAAAGAAGACCTTAAAAAATGAATAAGTAAATAAAAAAAATGTGTCTATTTAGCATTTAAATGCCCTCACCCCCCCATAGAAAAAAGGATACAGAGTCAGTAAATTGTACGGTTCTGCAGCAGACCCCACTGTATGCATGCCAAAACCGTATGCCATGGTCGTAACCACCGGTGACCAAAATAACAGGATCTGGGGAACCTGGAGGGTGGTTCATCGCAGCCTCCTCGACTCTTCGACGAACGTACTCACCCCGTGTCCTCCTCGGGTCGCACATCACCTGAAAATCAGGAAGAACAACCCCCCGAAAAAAAAAAAAGAGAAAAAAAAAGAAGAAAGAAATCAACGTGAAAACAGAGTTTCAATTGCGTGAAGAGAAAAGGCAAACAAATAAACAGAGTGGAAAGAAAGAAAGAGTAAAAGAGAAGGCACACCCGGATATACTATGGATGACCAAAAGTGTTACAATTTATAGACGTGAAATAAAATAATAAGCGAAAAAAATTATTTCCATTTAAGAGAAAATGATTTGCTATTCTCAGTATAATTATTTTAGTATTAATAATAAAATGCTAATAATGAAACAAAGACAGACATGCCGATATTGAAGGCATTGTTATTTTCTTTTAAATGTTTGAAAACTTTTTATTAGTGTTGTTTAATGAAACTATGGATGTTGGGGATCTTTTCTGTTAAGTGTTAATTTACACCAAATAATGTAAAGTTACTTATCGCAAATATTAATTACCCCCCAAAAATTGTAAAATTTTCAATCAAAGTTTGTTCTTTTATTAAATTTTTGGCACACTTTTGAAGAAATTATAAAGTTTAAATCAAAAATTTTTTTTTTTATTAAAATTTTGGCAATCTTTTGAAATTGTAAATGTTAAATCAAAATTTGTTTAGCTTATCTCAGAATGAAAAATTACTAAAAATCGGAGAGTTATCCCCATTTTGTAACTGCAGATGATATTCAAAGTATTTACAAAGAATTTTTACAATTTCAAAAAAAATCTATTTTTGTCTTGTTTATCAGGGTGAGTGCAAATGCTGACCCCACACTTAGAAATCGCGCACATGTGTTGCCCATATATAGGGCAATCACAAAGGTCAACCAAACCGAAGTGCAATGGAAGAGCCTTCTCTGGGAGAATTTGGTGTGAATTTTAGCAAATATAAATTCTATTTATTTTGGGGTGAATAGACAGAAAAGATCAATGCTAATATATTTGTAAAAACAATTTTTATATAAAATGAACATTTTTTTAAATCAACTTATTTATTATAAAATGTTTCTATTTTGACACTTTTTATATTTCACTCATGTGTAGTAGGATTAGGTAGTAATAACACCACATGAAAATATACACTTTCCTCTTTACTGAGTGAGTGACAAAAAAACTCTCTCTCCTTCTCTTCTATATGTTTCCTTTCCTTTCCTTCATTCTATTGTTCCTATCCTCGGTAACGGACATGAACTCGGATTTAGTTTATGTGGATCAGTGAATGTCATAAAAAAATCAACCAATTGCAACACATCCCGCTAAAAATCAAACGGGAAACACAGAGGTGTCAGCCCCAATAAAAAGAAGAAAACCACATATGAGACTAGAGATGCCGCCGTGGAGAGGAACTTGATTCGAGGTAGCTGTTCGAAATGCAAGGGTTGGTGATTCATCAGCTGTGAGTTTGACCTGACATACAAATCCAGAAGAGAAAGAAGAAGAAAGGATGAATGCAACGAATTAATTTCCATCAACCAAAAGGAACATAACAACCCTGTATGAACTCTCAAATCACAAAAAAGAACTATGATGATAGTCAACCATTTTAAACACTGTACCCCAATGGAGTCAACAATGAATGGTACTATAGACAATAAATTTGGCCTTTACTTCACCTCTATGTACCATACTATTGACCCCAGTTGACAGACAACACCAAGTCTGCTGCGCAGAATTTTGAATTACCTTCAGCAAGATTCCAAACTGTAAATATCAACATCATCGGGTTGTTGCTGCCAACACAAAGGAAATCAGAACAAGATATCAGCCCTTATCGATATTTACTTACTTGTATAGATCGTGCAACACATTGGATTGAAGTCCAAACTATGATAGAGATCATTGCAAAGTCAGTAGCCCAAGCTTTCATTGATGCATGGATATCGCAATTCAGTGTACCACTATATGTTTTCACTGATCGTGGTCACCAATGCGAAAGTGAATTATTCCAAGAATTAACAAAAGTAGTAGGATTCTCTAGATTAAGAACAACGGCATATCATCCACAAAGTAATGGATTGATAGAAAGAGCACATTGCACATTAAAAACAGCAATAATAGTTCAAAAGGAATCTTGGTTAACCACCATATCCATTGTACTTTTAGGAATTCGTAGTACTCCAAAGGAATCTAATTTTGCACTATTCACGGCAGTTACTGGAGCACCAATACTGATCCCTTACCAATTAGTTGACAATGCAAATATTTAAAGACATAGCCTCTATGCAGGAAGAGTATATAAAAGAATTATGTAAATCTATGTCCTAATTAGACATGTTAAATGACGACAGAAAACATCATATGACACGAACAAACACCTTCATACCAAATTCTTTACATATTTGCAATAAAGCATGGCTTTGAGTAGATTGAGTATGAAAACTTTTGGAAGCACCTTATACAGACCCTTACAAAGTTTTACAACATTCACCAAACATTACTTAATAGATTTAAATAATGACGTACATACACAAGTATCAATCAACAGACTAAAACTATATATAGAGCCGTCTGTACAAGAACATAAAAATAGTGCCAAATTACAGGCAAAAGCAAATAAATACAGACAGTGAGAAAAATGTTACTACCAGCACATCTGATGAAAATAGTACAAGCAGTAATATCAAATCATACACATCTAAATCAGGTAGACATATCACATGGAAAAAACAGAATGAATACTATTATTTTAAGTGGAAAAAAAAAGAAGTTACCAATTAAAGTAATAGGACTGAATCGTAGCAAAATTTTATTCACTCCATGTCAGAAGGGGGGACAGTGTAGTAGGATCAGGTAGTAATAACACCATACGAAAAATTTTCACTTTCCTCTTTACTAAGTGAGTGACAAAGAAAACTCTCTCCCCCTCTCTCTTCTATATATTTCCTTTCCTTTCCGTTCCTTCTATTGTTCCTATCCTGGGTAACAGATATGAACCCGAACTTAGTTTATGTGAATCAGTGAACGTCATAAAAAAATCAACCAATGACAACACATCTCACTAAAAATCAAATGGGAAACACGGATGTGTCAGCCCCAATAAAAAGAAGAAAACCACATACGAGACTAGAGATGTTGCCGTGGAGAGGAACTTGATTTAAGGTAGCAGTTCAAAACACAAGAGTTGGTGATTCATCGGCTGTGAGTTTGACTTGACATACAACTTCAGAAGAGAAAGAAGAAAGGATGAATGCTCTAAATTAGTTTCTGTTAACCAAAAGGAACACAACAACCCTGTATGAATTCTCAAATCACAAAAAAGAACTATGATGATAATCAACCATTTTAAACACTTTAACCTAACAGAGTCAACAATAAATGGTACTATAGACAATAAATTTGGCCTTTATTTTATCTCTATATACCATACATGTTTCAAATTTTACTCTTTTATTGACATTTTTGTGTTGAAATACTTTTTAGAAGTTCATACAATACTTTTTACAACCAAAATTGAATAAAAGTATTCCTTTCACCAAGGAAAGATATACTCAACTCAATAAATAAATAAAAGATGATACCTTTCAAAATTGACAGAATTATTTTACTTTTTTATATCATCAAGAATCACAATATACTTTGCTAAATCATTACTATTATTCAAAAGTTTTTAACATGTCAGTTTTTAAATATATTTTCCAATAGTTTTTGCAATGAACTTTTTCGTGGAGTTGATTTTATTTTCCCCCTCCCCCAGTTTCATAAACACCTTTCACACTGCCACTTGGCAATGTAGTGAAAAGGCAGATGACTCTAGTACAGCAAAAAAAAAAGGTTATAGACAATACATAGACAAATACACTGTGTATAGAAAGCTAGATCAGCAATTCTGCCTAGGATGAAAATACCTGCACACAGAGCCAAAAATCACTGTTGCTAATGTAGTACTTATTTTGTTTAGTGTTACACACAGAAATACATATAGAGAGATTACAATTCATTGTTATTTATATAGATAAATAAATCCCAATCAAAATTAGTTTTATTTATTTATTGTTTTCCTTTTTTAGTGATGTCACAAAAAAGAGATGAGGTAAGAATTTTTTATTTATTTAAAAAATGCGAGGTTATCGCTTTATTATTATAGTGTATTATAAAAGAAGAGGTAATTCTCTGTCGGTCACATAATGCCTGCATGTGACTTTGCTTGTACATATGTAATGGGTATGTCTGCATTGAACATGTGTAACTAACAGGGTGTGATGGATAAATTGTCGTCTAATTTCTGCAAAAATGAAAATAACACTGATATCTCATTTTAACATATACATTTACCAAAATTACACAAAAATATCTTGAACTACTAAAGAGTAAATTTATTCAATAAAATTGCCATTGGCTTCAGCCATGGCCTCCAGACGACTTTGGACGACTTTGGAATTTCCTGCAACTCTTCTGCATAGCCTTGTTTAAGTTGGTGAATGCTGCCATAATCCTTGCCTTCCGTTCATCTTTGGTGAGAGTTTTGTTGATCTCTGACACAACTGCACCCCACATATAATAATCAGGTGGGTTGCAGTCTGGGGAGTTAGGTGGCCAGATATAAGGGGTGATGTGATTGCAGAAATTGTCTAACAACCATGAATGGGTTGTCCTGCATGGTGCAGAGTCCTGTTGCCAGACAGGATCTTCCAGCAGCCACCCACTTGACCCAGGGCAGTACTACCTTCTCAAGGCACTTGATGTAGGCCTCCACATTGAGTCTGAGGCCCTCACCAACAAATTCAGGAGTTCTTTTCTTATCAGAACGATCAGAATGAGTTTTCTGAGTTGCCGTACCTTCGTAATCACCATTAGACTCATGCAACTCTTTCTGAATCCTCTGCACTGTCCTTAGATTTACACCCAAAAACTCTGAAATGGTTGTATTGGAGCTTCCGGTGTGAACGCCAAGCAGTACAGCATGCCGTTTCCAAATTTCTAGCAGAGTGAATTGCATCATGGTGCACACAAATGGTGCCCAACTGAGCCTACTATATTGTGTAGTCAACAA